GGGGGGGGGGGGTACGATGACTACCCATGTGACTACCAATCTCATCTGTTCGCCAAATTGGCTATAAAAGTTCTAGTCTTCCCTAAATCTAACTACAGAAAATAATGTCTACGGTGGTTATTGGTAAAAAGGCGTTTTAAAACTTTGATTTAACTATTTACACGCGACCTCAAATTAAAGATCCACAATATTGAGAAATCATTAAAAATCAGGTCTTTCCTGCAGTAAATAATCTTCAGAATTACGCACAATCTCACCCCGGAAACACGGGAAATCGCCATTGAGGGACTCCAGATTTCAAACCCCGGACCCCCCTACAAAGGCTTGCGCCTTCGGCGTTCGATATATCCCCCCCCCCAAAAAAAAAAAAAAAAAATTATAGTCTGGCTACGCCACTGCTAACAGTTATTATGGTTGTGAAGCAAGGGGAAAGTTATGTCGAATTTTCATATGAACGGTTAACAGCATCAACATACATTGCTGGATTATATGTTGACGGCCAAAATCTTTACCCTCCGATTCAACCTTCCCTGTAATAACTCTTCTTTTGTCATACCCAACTAACTTTACAGTTCTTACATTAGCAGAGAAAGAGATAACTAATAATAAAGAGACTACTATACGTTTGTGTAAACTAACATGTGTCTTTTTACACTAGTACAGTAACTTTATATCCAGTAAAAACACACATGGTACATCAACACACAAGCTATTCAATTTCAAAGTATGCGAAATAAGCTACTGACATTTACTTTATCAAAACTTATATCTGCTTTGCTTTCTACTTGCTGGATACCCATACGCATGCTTGGGCCGTTTGATGTCATTTCTTTCTCCTTCCAATTCCCAAGAATTTGCTTTATATATAGTTCATCTCTTCAAACTGTGCCACTCCTCTATAGCAGTTGTGATTTTGCATGTACACACTGCTCATATTCGGCAAATGTTCTCCCAATAGCGCAGACTCTTATTTTGCAGCATACTTGCTGTGAGAAATTGAAGGTTTTGCATTTAGCACAGAGCTGGTGATTTGTGTAAGATGCCCGCTGACAATACGAACCCACATTACCCACTGTATTTGTGGGAGAAATTTCGCTATATTTGACCAACGTGACAAGAATGGTGGTCATGTTGCTGGGCATTTATGTGGGCTCAGTACCTTTAACCTTAATATCGAAATTTTATCAATAAATCAAAAACTTTGCCAACTATACCTTAAATAATTTAGCATTTTTTTTATTAATATTCGGTGTATGTCACCATATACATTATACGCACGTTCAGTTCACATTCAGTTAGATCAGCTAGCACATTTTAGCTCTATGTTTGTGGCCGCAATTTCTGATCGTGCGTGGTCCACACTGCTTTGCGCTATGTGCTTAGATTCTTTCGATTGTAATCATCCTTCAATGCAGCGTTCTAAAATTTAGGATGTATACTCTTTAAGCCATTTTGGTCTAGATGATCGAGTGCTTATGCGTGTCGTACCCATGTTTTGAAATTTTCATCCACGCAATATATTGACCATCGTTATATATCTCTATATAACATATATGATAATTTATGAAATGGAAAATATAAATGGTTGTCTTATAAATACAATTTTGTGAAATTTTTAGGGGGAACAGTGTTTGGGCCAACGGGATATCAGGCCACAATTCCAAGGGAAGGAACTGTCACATTTGCTGTTGTTATAGTAATTGATGAAACATTCGTGCCCGATCTCCAGAACGTGAATAGTTTGGCTTTCAAAAATATGACAAAAAGATTCCTCGAATTCTTGATTCCATTATACCAAAATAGAACTGGTTTTCTCGGCATTATCTTTATTTCATATTCCCGGGGAAGTGTTGTTGCAAATATTGAAATATTATATAATTCCACCGAAGCAATTCCGACTGTTGAGGAAGTTCGATCTCTAATCGCTGAAGCAAGAGATAATGGATCTGCGCCGTTCACTATTTCGAGTTTAAAAGTCACGAGAAAGGGCGAGTCACAAGATGGATTCGAAGCTTGGAAGATTGGTGTCGCTGTTTGTTTTGCTTTCGTACTTCTTCTTCTTATTTTTATTTCAGCTGTGGTGAGTATTAGTTTTATGTTGGGAAGGTTAAATGCAGGCAGTAATAAAATGATCTGCTTATAAGATTGCTTATTGATACCCTTTTGATAGTGTCGCCATTAGCCTATACATTAGGCCTATGTCAACAGTAACAAGACAAAAAAGACAATACAGCTAAAGAATAAATTTTGTGTGGAAGGAGGAACAAATACGGTTTCCTTTTCTTCCAGTTTGTGCAAAACCAATCACAAAACATGATTAGGCCTATTTTAGGTTAATATTTCCTTTATTTACACTTTTGGAGCATAGAAAAGGTGTAAAATTGTAATTGATTGACACGCATTGAAATGAACATTAAACTGCCTTTTCGAATTCCGTTCGAATGTTTAGAAGATTGTTACATACAATGTCAATGTGAACCAAAAAAATTGTTCCCTGACTGCAACCCTACATGATAGTTATTTATTGACACATTTATTTATGAACGTTTTCTATATTAATTCCATACCACACAAAACAACACCAATCGTAACACACCTCATCATACGCAAAAATATCTTGGATAAAATATCCTCCCATGATAAATCTATGTCCAAACTATTTTCGTATCCCTCCACTTTTGATATTTCGAAAACGAATGCAAATTTATTATTTAGATACTCGACCAAAAATAGTGAGTTAAACAGTCTGTACTACAATAGCATTTGTGATTTCAATGGAAAGTATCTGTAAAAAAAATTTGTTCACGGGAAGTGCTTTTGTATTGCGTTTTGCTCGCTCATTACATTCACTATAGTTCGCTTTGTGAAAACAAATTGACGTGTGCAAAAATACCACATGCCGGACTTGCCATGAAGAATTGTTTTTTCCTACATCCACCCTGACGTTTCTGAGTCGTTTCCAGAACCTTTCAATGGAGAACGATGTGTTTTCATATTTTGCAAGTAGTATGTATCTATTTTGTCGTTAATTATGAAACGATCTTCTAGGAAATTGCTTTTTTGATTGCAGGTTATTGTTAATGGACGCAAAGGAAAAAAGCAGGCACGGTATAATTTGAAAGATCGTAGAAATAGCTTCGACTTGGATTTTGATCTCTTTTCCTCTGATGGTGATAAATCTAATGGCATTCCGGTAAGAATTACATGCATGTCCTATTTTAATTTACAAACATTTGAAAATATTTGAAAACGATAACCCTTCGGGGCTCGTAGCTCCTATTTTTGAATGGGCCGTTTTTTACATATACCACACAAGTTACTATAACTATAATTACATAAATGCAATGACCAAACAATATAACAAAACATAATAGTATATTATAAAAATAACAAAAATATTAATATATTTGCATGCTGTAATAATTCATGAGGAAAACACAAAGAAAAATCATAAGCGTGTCGTATGTTAATATGTGATAGAGATTTCCCTTGATTTACATAAACTTTAAGTAGTATTTAAAACACGAGAAGGAGTGTTTTATCATATTTAAAACGCGAGGCGCAGCCGAGCGTTTTAGATATGATAAAACACGAGTTCGAGTGTTTTGAATAGCTTAAAATACGACAACAAAAGAATACATATTAGGATGAACAATTATATAATCATACTAATTAGGATGAACAATTATATAAAGAATACTAATGAAGATGAGTTTTATCAGATATAAAGTCACTCCACGTGACATATTATGGCTGACATGATTTGCCATGCACAAGCTAGATTTATGAATTTTTAATGAGTATTTTAACTTTGTTTGCACAACGTATTTTTTGAGAATTACTTCGCCAATGAACTTACTAGATCCACCGTTTTGAAGCAATTTAAAACATTCGCATGCAGTGTGTGTTTTATCAGACCTAAAGATACTGGCTTCGCATCGTTTCTTTACATCTGATAAAACACTGTCTGCTGCTCATGTTTTAAATAGTACTTAAATTTATTAACAATATTTACAAAGATAATGTTAAATCATGTAGGTGCCGTAGAGAATGCATATAAATAAATTTCTTAAGGCTCATGCCTTTTTCTTCGGCTGTATGCTCTTCTTCATAAAGTTTGTTTCTAGCTTTCCAGGTACATAATTGCTGTTATGACTTCAGGTACATAATTGCTGTTATGTATCAATATGTATTGTGTATATAGAGAATCTAGGAAGAAGTTATATTAATAAAGTTTTTATTATCATTATTATTATCATGTTATCATATTATCGTATTTTATTAACACTGGTTCTTACTTCTTTTTCTAGAATTACGCAGAGTCATTTGAAATGGACGAGAGACGCGACATTTATATGTAATCAAAAAATGAGAAGCCCACATTGGCGAAGTAAAACTAGAAACTGCACCAAATGTAGAAACAAATTGTCTGAAGATTTGTAATCCAGGCACAACATTATGTATGGATTACAAATCTTCTGACATATTTGTTGAAGTTATCCAGGTTAAAAAGATAACTTTTATCGAACATTCAGCACGGTTCGTCGAAACCTATATATTCACAGCACTTCGCACAAGCACGAATATACTTATTAACTTTAACATTGCCATGTAAAGGGCATGAAATATTATGCATGCAGTACCCTACCTCCAAATCATTACTTTCTTGCATATATAAGTGCAAATATGGAGGTGGTGGAAGCATGGTAGGTCGAAATACCTTGGCCAGTCACGTGCACACACATAGAAACGCAGATGTTTCGTCTTCGTTTGTGTTAGCACGAAATTTCAAAAACTATCAAACGTATATTCAAACGAAGATTTGTGCGACTAATGGACATTGTTCATGGACAAATCTATTTAATTTTGGTTAAATTTGGATGAAAGTTGGTTGGAAAATTACAAAAAGTTTGCCTTGCTTTTTCGGGAGAATGCCATGCAATTGCCTCCGTGGTGTATTAAATTTATGTATATGATACATAACTTTATTTGTTGGTGGAGGTACGAAGCCTACGAGTGCCCTTTCGCGCAAAAGTGAACATAAACTTGTTGCTTTACATATATCGATTGTTATTGATTTTTGTTGTCATATGAATGATTTGCAGTATTGCACAATTTCTATATGGTAGGCTACGTTATTTTATTGAAATTATCTTAGCGTGCCTGTGACTTTTTTATGAATTATGAATTTTTATCGTTTTCTCCGAAGGTAAAGCATATCAAACCTGGCAAGTTAAGCCGCCTGCAAGTTAAACCTTCTGTTTTATAAATCTTCTGTACTACATAACGATAGAAAACTCAGTATCTATCATATATAACAATAGAAAACTCAGTATCTATTATATAACAATAGAAAACTATCATTCAATTTGTTCATGAGAAGCTGCTTTTGTATATTGTATTTTCGTAATTATATTTCCCCCTTAATTTCCCAGCCCTTCTTTTAGATCAAATTCCAATCCCACTGTGAAATTTAAAGAAAATCCCATAACAGGTGGTTCATCATCTTTTGTCTTTTAAACACAATTCTCCATTCAATTGCCCTCTTTAGAACTAGTTTTCTTGCAATGTTTTGATTTTATTTTATTTTAAAGAAAAGGGACCTTGACTGGGGGTCATTTGAAAGAAAAGGGAGCCTGACTTTCCGAAATGGTGTATTACAGTTCAACTTTGAAATAGAAATGTTTAGAAGATTACCAGAACTGTTACCGAGGTCCTTTTTGAAAATAATTATATAAAATAAAAAAGTTTCCTCAATAAAGATTACTACTGCTACCACACTTTAGTATAATTTCAGTATTGAAAAATGGCCTTTGAGCTTTCTGATTGGCCACCTCAGCAGTAACTCTGAGGCAATAATTACTACTCCTGCCCCAGGGGCCGGTTATTCAGAGCTGGGTTAGCTAACTTAGCTTAACCCTCGGTTAACCTAAAATTCAAAGCAAACTTCCCGATAGCTTGTCTATAAATTTGGAGATATTTCTTCAGAGATCTTGTCTGGATCGATAGGAGTTTACTTCTCTGAAGTTTTGAAATAAACAGACGTGCAGAAATACACAAACTAAAACAGTGTGTTAAATTTTAACCCAGGGTTAGCGCCTGAGCAGTAACTATTGCCTTTCCTGTCAAAAAAAATGGCTGAATTGAAAATCAGACGGAAGTAAGCTATTTATATGCAAATAATATTAATAAAATAACACGCGTATTAGTCGTATTTATAAATAAAACTTTTTCAATACTGAAATGATACTAAAACAATTAAGCCTGTTTTCCACAATCATGGAGATAATATCCGTAGACCCAACCTCGTTCCCAGGGTCTTTCTTAGAACGGCGCGAGGCGAAGGAAAGACCCTGGTTTCGGCTGGTCACGTGTCACCCAGATTCTGGGTGATAAATTAAAATGATACTATGGGCAGGGTGGGAGAGGAACGTGTTTGTCGCGTTTGTAACAATATTTGCAATTTTGTGTGATGAAATTTAAATTTGCAACAAGAAATCGTGGAGGGAACTGCAATTAAAAATTAATATTTATCGTGATGTGACTTTCTGCTCTATAATCTAGTGTTGAGTTACAATTCAAGCAAGTTG